TGTGTCAAGTTAGTGTCCTCAGACATTCCTCAGTGCAACTTTGTCAACTGAGGTCTAGTCAGCCTATCTAGAGTCTTTGAAGAACAGACATTTACATTTATTTTGTTGCAGTCCACTGAGTGTATTTATAGTGATGTAGTTAAAAAATAATTGTTTAACCAAGATTACATACAGTTCCATATGAATTTTAGACTTGTATTGTCAATTCTTGCTAAAATCCTAATGGGATTTTGGTAATGTCGAATGTATAGATCAGTTTATAGAGAAGTAATATTGTACTATTCAGTATCTCTGTATTTAGGTCTGCAAATTTCTCAGAATAATTGTTTTAGTTTCAACTGTGCATTGTTTTCACATTTTGGGTCAGATTTATTCCTATTTATTTATTATTTATCGTCTTTTGAGGGAGTGTCTCTCTGTAGTCCTAGCTAGCCTAGAATTTGTTATGTAGAGCAGGCAGGTTGTTCTCAATCTCAGAGGTCCACCTGCCTCTGCCTCCTACATGCTGAGATTAAAGGTGTATGCCACCACACCCAGCCCCATTTCATTTTTATTGATGCTGCTATAAGCAGTAGTATTTCCCTGACTGAATGTATAATACATTTAGTTTAGTTAATTAGCTAATGGTACAAAGCTTAACTTGTAAATCAAAAAGACACATAGAACAGAAACAACATATTTTAGCATGATTTTCCTGCCAGGAGCACTTTATGGCAAAGCTAGAGTTCTTGGTAGGAACATTTACTACTGTTCCTTAGGCTCCTCCTATTCCAAACTTGCATGACAAGTACTGATAACGCTTTAAATAATTGATACATTTCATAGTAACCATTTGTGTGTTTGAAAGGTGCCTTTATTCTATTAAACTCAGCTTCATGTGAAAAAGCAGGGAGAGGGAATAGACTCTGTTGAAGACGGACGGTCCCCAAGAAGTGAGGCCTTCTGATAAGGAGTTGAATTATAACAGAAAAATCTGTTCCTCCACAGTTTGAAGATTCCATAGGGGGGAAACAGTCTTATTCAGAAATGTTTTTTAACTTCTGGGGTTAGTCTAGAAATTGAAATGTTAAAACTGCTATTTGTAAGCAAGAACCCTGTTTATACACAAAAGTCTTACTATTTTAAACTTATGGAGTCTAAGGAAGGCCAAATTGCCAGTGCTTGACGGGCACTACAAAGCCTTGCTTAGAGGTTTAAGGCTTCAAACAAAGAAACTCCAAAATTTACTTTAGTAACTAGCAAAAAATATGCAGAGTATTTTTATAGAAAAATTGGAAGGTTAAAAAAAATAACTTTATAGTCTCCTAGAAATGAAAATAAAAATCAAAAAAAGTCCAAGTGGTCATAGTAATTTTTTTTTTGGCTGGGAAAACCAAATGGCTTTCTAAAAAGTAGCCATTTTTAATTAAACATACATCTCTTGTATTTCGTCAAGGGAATTACTTTTTCTTTCTTTGTTAAAAGCCACCTTTGTTTACTCTTCATCTGGGCTGGTAGTTTGGGCTAGGCTCAGCCATGACCACTTGGTTTTTTTTCTTCATGGTGTTTGCTGAGCCCACTGCACATTTCAGTTAACTGATAGTCACAGGCTTCATTCACATGGCTGAGAGCTTGCTATCCAAGAATCATATGACTAACTGGACCATGTGTCAGTGTTTATCCAGAAGAGCTGTCTAACCTTGTTTGTATTATAGAATCAGGGTTACCAAAAGTAGCATTTAAAAAATATGTAAAATTTGGACCAGAGATGGCTCAGTAGGTAAAGGTACTTACCTTCAAGCCTGATGACCTGAGTTTGATTTCCAGAGTCCATGTGTTGGAAGGAGAACAGTGACTACCTTAAGTTGTCCTCTGACTGCCACAGTTATGCCTTAGTACCTGTGCACTTGCATACATACACATATATACATAAATGAATGCAAAAAATACATTCATACACACAGACATGTATATATATATGTAAATTTCTTTTCATGTGTTCACCCCTATCTATCTCATCAAGATTGGGGAGTTTATTTTTCAAATTTCTGCATTTGGACTCTGCCATGTAACTTGTTTTGGACCAATGAGCCACTCATAAAAATACAAGAAGAGTGTTTAAAAATACTTATGCATTGTGATTACTTTTTCTGGCCAAGTGTGCCAGCCTTTTTCTTGGTGCTTTTTCTATCTTTGCTGTCAAGCTAAGAGTTGATTTCTTCCTTTAAATGCTGTAGGATTTTAAATTGTGTAGAATCAATGGTTAAGATGTTTTCCCCCTCCCTGTTTGCCTCTTCTCTTCTGCCTTCTTTATGTTCAGATATTTTTTTAGTAATGGTGGTCCACTAGGCCCTGGATCTTCCTGAGTTGTAAAGATATATACTTAGTATGTATCCCAGTTTATTCTAAATCCTACCTGTCTTGGTCAGGTTTGGCTGTTGTAACAAAATAGGCTAGAGTAAATGGATTAAACAGCATAGGGATTGTTTCTCAGTTTGAGAGCCTGGGAAGCCTCAAGATCCAATTGCTGGGACACTTGATTCATGTAAATTATAGGGTTATAGATTGTTCTCAATTTTATCTATGGATATGTTACATAGAACTGCTTTACAAGAAGTAATTAAAACTTTTATGCAACACATTTCTAAAAGTTTGCTCTGTTTTATGTGGTTATATAGCTATATCCAGTGCATATTTGTTGTATATGCAATTAAATTATTTGTTCTGGTCCCTGTCACGTCACCTTGATTCTTTCAGGTAACAGATTGTTTTTCAAATAGTAACCCTTCCTGTTCTTTATAAAGATAAGTCCTTCCCAGTTTGCTTTTCTACATTTATTGCACTGTTTTAAATTTTTGGTTTCTGTTGGACAGTGGCAGTGATAAAAGACCGTTTTAAAAGGTTGATGGCACTTTTTAAAATCTCTGTGCAGTGATGACTGATTGGCAAAATCTGTTTCATTGTTGAGAGCCACGTTTTCTCAGATGTTAGATTTTTGTTTGAAGAAAAACAGGTAGCAAATATTAATTTCTATATTAAATTCCATTTTCATATGAAATGAAAAAGTTGTGTGTTTTTTTGTTATTATTAATCTAAAATAGTTTTACATTCCTAGAATAATTATTCTTGTCACGTAGTTTCTTTAACTGTGGAGCTGGATTCTATTTCATAATCTGTGTTCATGATGGTTTTTATGAGTTTGCATATTCTCTGGTCTAATGTTGGGTTTATGACAGCATGATAAAATACATTAGAATGCTACACATTATACGTCTTAAATAGTAACTATCAACATTTGAAATCAAGAATAAAACATTTGGGGGAGGCTTGATAATGTTTTGGAGTAATGATTTAAAAAATGATTATAAAAAATTAAAGTCATAAATTATCTGTTACTTTCTGTAATATCCTTAATCATCTGTTAAAAGGTAACTTTTTCATTTAATTCATTTTTACCGTATCTTTCCTCTAAAAAGGGTACATTAAAATATCATTTAAAATATTTTTTTTTCTGTCTTTTTGAGACAGGGCCTCCCTGTTGTAGCCCCAGCTGACCTGGAACTCACCATGTAGACTAGGCTGGCCTCAAACTCAAAGATCCGCCTTCCTCTGCCTCCTGAGTGCTGGGATTAAAGATGTGTGCCACCACGCCTGGCACATTTAAAATATTTTTAAAGATTTTATTTTATCTGTGTGTTTTGATTGTATGTATGTATACCTGATGTATGTACAGTGGCTGTGGAGGTCAGAAGAGGGCAATGGAGCTTCTGTGTGGGTGCTGGGAACTGAACCTAGGTTCTTTGCAAAGGCAGCAAGCCCTCTTACCTGCTGAACCATCTTTTGTTCAAGACTGAACAAAGCTAGGTGTAATGGCACAGATCTGTAAACCACAACGCTTGTGAAACAGGCAGCAGTATCATGAGTTTAAGGCTAGCCTTTTTGTATAGCAAGACCCTATCAAAACAAAACAGAAAATAAGAAAAAATTAGTTTTTAAATAAAATTAAATACATTTTTTCTCATTTTGTGATCCCTTCTGCATAGTTTTATTAAAATACTGTACATAAAGTTAAGTTTTAAAGGTGTTTATACAATTTATATTTTTGAGAACTTATTTTGGCTTTTTAGTTTTTGTGACTTTTTCTAGGGGCTGGATCAAATCACGTGTGGTTACCTCTGTAAGGACATTTTATTTGTATTTTGAAACACTTGTTAATAAACAACATCTTGAGCACAGTATTTCATGAGAATTAGTCTGTCTTCCTTCAAAGTGATCATTTTGCTCCATGACTTTTAGGATAGAAGAATATTATAATGAAAAACATTGGGCATCATTTCATTTTGACTTTGCTTGTAGAATTTTTCTTCATCTGGAGTGGGGGAAAAATAATTTTATGTTCGTATAAACATTTCATGTTTTCTGTAAATTAGTCTGTCTTGAAGGTTTTTTTTTTTTTTTTTTTTTTTTTAAGAGAATTTTATCTTGGAAGTATTCCACAAGAAAGTACTTTGTTATTTATATTTGATTTGAAAGATCTTACACAAATAAGTTACTTGGTACTACATAAAAAATTACCCTAAAACTTTATAACTTAGAAACAACATTTATTATCTTAGTCTCTGTGGGTGAGTCATCATCTCTCATCTAGACATGGTTAAGCTGGATCCACTCATAATGCTGCTGTCAAAGTGTCAGCTAGGTCTGGGATCTCATGTGAAGGATTTTTGGGGGAGGGATCTGCTCCCAAACTTGGTTCCAATGTACTGTATTTTCTACTGCAGCACACTACAGAATGATTTGATAGTCACTCTGGATCTGCCTTCCAAATGAACCCAGGAAACATCTAGTTCTTCTCAGAGAGAAATCTTGTTCGGGGTGTGTGTGTGTGTGTGTGTGTGTGTGTGTGTAGGGGAAGGAGAATTTTGTGCAGAGAGAAGGAGGAAGAAGTGAGAGTGACCATATGTTAGCATAACTTTTTCATTATAACAACTATATTAATGTGTTTTGTGTTTTCCCCATAGGTGCCTTAGCTGGACCAATTATCGTGGAGCCACATGTCACAGCAGTATGGGGAAAAAATGTTTCATTGAAGTGTTTAATCGAAGTAAATGAAACTATAACACAAATTTCATGGGAGAAGATACATGGCAAAAGTACACAGACTGTTGCAGTTCATCATCCTCAGTATGGATTCTCTGTTCAAGGAGACTATCAGGGAAGAGTCTTGTTTAAAAACTACTCACTTAATGATGCAACAATTACTCTACATAACATAGGCTTCTCTGATTCTGGAAAATACATATGCAAAGCTGTTACATTCCCACTTGGAAATGCCCAGTCCTCTACAACTGTGACTGTGTTAGGTAGGTGTGTTTGAATTGTGTATTTTGGTGATAATGATAAAGATATTATAATAGGAGAGATGGCTCAGCAGTTAAGAGCACTGACTTCTCTTGTAGAGAACCTGATTTGGTTCCCAGCATCCACATGGACTAGGTTTTTTCATAACTCCAGCTCTACAGGATCTGATGCTGCCTTCTAGCCTCTGTGGGCATTGCCTTCATGGATGCACTTATATAAATCCAAGCAAAATACTCATACACATTAAAAAATTAAATCTTAAAGTTCTATAATCCTATATTCTCTTATTGCAAAGAAAATCTATGTCTCTGCTATATAGTTTTAGCATTTTTCACACTAGATAGCACTTGAATTATAATAACAAATGTTGATTATCATCTGGGCCTGTTGGGCCATATCTGTAATTCTAGCACTTAAGAGGCTAAGGCAGTATTACTACCATAAGTTCCTGTCCAACTGGGCCTGCAGAGTGAAATCCCGTTTTGTTTTTTTAAAAAAGAAATAAACTGAACTTCTGTAACATTTAATTACTTTTTCTCAGTTTTTAAAAATTTGTCATTTTTAGTTGCTTAACTTTTTCCCCTTTTTTTCCAAGTGACTTGAGTTTGACTTTCTTAGAGCCTTTTGACACCTTGTGTTTTAATTTTTTGTGTTGAGTTTTTTTCCTGACATTGTAGATTTGTGTACCTATTTGAATCGTATTCAGAATCAGCTCATTAGAATTACCTGAAGTGGAATGTAAAGCAGTCTGGAAATGCAGATGAGTACTCTAGGAGTCATGGATCAAGGATGGAGGAGCAGTAGCTGACATGACTGCTCACCTCCTCCTTCATAAAGACACATTACTCTGCATTCCTTATAGTCACTAGAAGCTCCTTAGGAAGCAGGAATGGTGAACATGGTATCAAGAAATATCTTGTAAAAGAAGTGATTGAGTTAGTCCTTAAATGATGGAGAGTTTTGGTTAGACACAAATGAAAGAAAATTAGGGAAACATTATTCTGGGATTGACAATGAGCCAAACCTGAGAGGTAGGCATTAAACAAAGTTTCCTTATTCTTGACTTAATTTTTTAGGGGCCATACTTCTTTTTGTTGTGGGTGGTCCTATTCCTTGTAGACTGTTTTGCAGGACCGTGGACTCATTAAATGCCAGTAATATTTCCTCATTGTGACTGCTGAGAATCTGTCACTAGACAAGTATCCTCTTGGGAAGTATAGGGTTATAGAAGAGCCAAGGTGTTGAAGTAGAACACTGAAAATGTAATTTGCCAATTAATGAAGGGATTTGTATAAAGTATAAGAATTTTTGAATCTAAAAAGGCGGTGCTTCTGAAAATCACTGAAATGTTAGGATGAAATTTACTACCTTTATAAATGTGAACCTTAGTGTCTATTGACTGTGCTGATTTCTCTTCCCTCTTCTGCTCCCAGACCCTTTTTAAAGTTTCACTCGTAGACTAGCAGTATTGGTACCATTTGAGAGTGTGTTAGAGACACAGAATTTGAGGCCCCTCTGAGGCTTATCTTAAGATTTAGCAAGATCTTTCTGTAATTTTAGAAACAGTACTGTGACTACATTCTCCACTGACTTTGAGAGGGCTACCTAACACAATAGACCTGCCTTAGAGAGTAATATAGAAGCTGTTACTTACGAAGATCACACTTCTGTTAAATCATAATGCCTCAGCACAGGGACAAAAAAAAAGAAAAAAAAAAAAACCTTAAAATTTTCTGATTTCTGAAGCTTCAATGAAGAAGGGCACTGTTCTTACAAAATAATTAACAGGTTTTTGTAACTGGTAGCTGTATGTTAGAAAGGAGGGAAACTTGAATAGTAGTAGATTGTAATACTTGGTGAGCAAGTACCTTTTTGCTATTAATTAAATGGACACATTGGTATTTAAAACTCCTGTTGGGAAGCTCAGATGATAAGTTCAACATTAGGTTGTGGGGTTTGAAGACATAGGTGAAAATCCCAATCTGGTAAGAGATAGAGGGGTCAAGCCTTGTAGTAAAATTGGAGAATATATGAGATCATTTGGGTAAATATTACTAGAAAGAAGCTTTAAAAGAGATGTAAAAAATAACCCAAGTAGAATAGGACATGGAAGAAAAATAGATGGAGTTCAGGGAGGGCTATGAGAATAACTGAGAACAACAGCATTTATAAGAGAAGGTAAGTTTGTAGAAAAAAAAAGGTTAATCTCCTTTCCATGTGGAAATTAAACCTACATGAAATGATGGACTTCTGTTACCTACCAGTGAATTCATTTCTTTAAACATTTTTAGAGGAAAAATATTGAGTCTGAGATTATATGATCCCTTGATATTAGAGTTTCAATGGAGTAGCTGCAGCAAAACTAAATTCAGGGGCTCTAACAAAAAATTTAGAAAAATTGAATAACAAATACTCCACAGTAGTAGAGTTGTTAACATTAATTGGTTGCTTCTTACATTATGGAAGAGCATATTATTAGTACTTGAAAAAAATTAGCCACAAAATCAGGTATACTATTACATCTATATGAAAACTAGAAATAGAAACAAGGCGATAGAAATGGAAGACTGTGATAATGACTGTTTGAACATATTATAGTTATAGATAATTCTGTTTTCCAGTTTTCAGAAATACTGTTTTCACAACTAAATCCAGACTACTTCCTGAATAATGGCATATCATCCTGAGTTTTACCCTTTGGGGGGGAAAAAAGAAAAGCAGACAAATGATAACAGTTCTAAGTCTTTGGATAATGGTATAGGACTGTGATCCCTGAAAGAAGAGCGATATACCAGATAAGCCCTTAAGATGCCTCTGGTTTCCTCCTTAGGCAGTTTACAGGCTGCACAGTGATGAGACGTTCCAGGAAGGGGAGGGAAAAGGAGAGAAAGAATGATGCTAAAGTGGTTAACTATCAAAAGTTAGTAAAAACAAATAACTTTCAGTATACTTGAATTAGCTTTTCATTAAAGGATAGGGAATATATCTCAATGATATAGCACATGGGTAGCATGCATGGGCCCTTGGTTCAGTCTTATTCCAAGTACCTCAAAACAGAAATAAAAACAGAGGTATAAAGGCAGATTTGAAACTAGTAGAAGATATTGGTACTCCATATAATTTAAAAGGAACTGTTCTTCCAAATTATTTAGAAATTCTACACACAAGAAAAAAAAAACCCCAAATTACTTCACTTCAATATACATTTAGCAACGTAAGAAATTGGAAATAACCCTAAAATATATCGGATGCTCTTTGCCTTCATAACCTGAGAAATTTAAATCTTAACGAGTTGTAATTGCATTATATATGAGATTGACAAATTCTGCCATCTAATACCATCAGCTGGTGAGTATATGTGTTCACAAATGCTTGAAGATTGCAAGTAAATTAGCACTTTGTATAAGCTTTAGATGCTGCCCGGTAAAAACTGAAAATAAAGTAGAAGTATTTCTAATATTTGGAACAAACTAAAGAAACCTATACAAATATACCAAGATAAATGAATGTTATAGAACCGTTTAGAATTAACAAGAAACACCACCAGTATTACCAGTGAATAAACTGTATAATAATTAAAACAATTTCATGTGGTTCTAAATCATCTAAAAATGAACAGTTAAGGTGAATTTAAGAATAATAAAACTAGCCAGGCCCAGTGGCACATGACTTTAGTACCCAGCACTCAGGAAGCAGAGGCAGGAGGATCTCTGTGAGATTGGGACCAGTCTGGTCTACATATGAAGTTCCAGGTCCACTGGGGCTACAAAAAGACTCAGTTTCAAAGCAAAAAATAATAAAACTAAATGCTCTATTATGAACCCACTGAATGCAAAATTGAGTCAGAGACAAGCTGTGTAAAAGTAACATAGTCCGGTTTATTCTTATACAGTTCAATGAAAATGGCAAGTGAAGTAAAGCTATCCTAGTTTAGATGTGCATTTATTGCTTATAATGACAAAATAATTAAAAATTTATCAAGTTAATATTATGGTTTCACATTAAAGTAGACAGGGTAAGATCAAGGAGAGACACAAAGGACTTGAGCTAGACCTTGAGCTGCTAAGTGTTTTTTCTTAAGATTGTGGTGATTACATGGATATTTGCTATAAAATTACTCATTCCATGTGTTTCCTTTACTTTTTCTGTCTTCCAATGAGGAGGTGCATAAAGAAAATATTAATCACTTTTACATAAAATATGAAATGGTAATAAGTCAGGGTTAGTATAGCAAATTGAGTAACTTATTTAAAAGGTAGTTGCTTTAAATCTTTTGCCATAGAATAAAGTATTATATATTAAAATACTTTTTCCTTTGGAACTAATGTCTTCAATCTCATAAAGGAGATTATGATCCAAGTAAAAGAAGGCTTTGACATATTTTTGTTAGGGGAAAGTTCATCTTAAAATGTGATGCTGCCTTTGTGATAGCAGATTTAAAATTTGCCTAGCAAATCATCTTTTTTTTGTTCCAGAAATACAGTTGATGTTGACATTACCTGAAAAGCCTGTGTATGATTTTATTTGCATTTGTCCCTAAGATTATGAAATATGTGTACATGTGGCTTGAACAAATGTAAATACTTTCTTAATTGAAATATAATTTCTTTTTAATTTAAACAGTTGAACCCACTGTGAGCCTGATAAAAGGGCCAGATTCTTTAATTGATGGAGGAAATGAAACAGTAGCAGCCATTTGTATAGCAGCCACTGGCAAACCAGTTGCACATATTGACTGGGAAGGTGATCTTGGTGAAATGGAATCTACTACAACCTCTTTTCCAAATGAAACAGCAACAGTTGTCAGCCAATACAAGCTGTTTCCAACCAGATTTGCTAGAGGAAGGCGGATTACTTGTGTTGTGAAACATCCAGCCTTAGAAAAGGACATCCGATACTCTTTCATATTAGATATCCAGTGTAAGTATAAACTCAACTTTTTCTTTTCAAGTTCAGCCATGTATTTTACTTTATTCCTTGGACTTCTTTATCAAATTATTTTTAGTTTGATTACTTAGTATGTAGATATTCCTACTGCTTTTGTGTGCTTCACTATGTCTTTACTTTTGTTTATATTTTCATTGAAATTTCATTTAACTAGAATATTTTTTAATCAAGAAGCATGCACAGATGAATTCTAAATTACTAAAAACTGTTTAATTTTGTCCTTTTAAGACTTTAAAAATAGTTTAGCCTTTAAGGAGTTGTAGGAACGTCTACATCAAAATATGTGTGACATAAAAGACAAATAATTGCATTATATTTAATTGAGCTGATGTTTATTTCCATGGATCTTACTCATACATTTTTCAGTAAGAATTTTACTTCCCAGATGTGTTTTAGCTACTTTGAAACTGTCTTTTTTTAAATATTATTTATAGCCTGATCTTAATAATATTATCATAAAACAATTTGGAAGCTACCATTAGGATAGTAGCAATTATAGACAAGATTCAAAGCTTCTTATTTAAAATTTTTAAGGGTTCTCTCCTATATAAGTTTATATTTTTATGTGTTTCTACATTTTACTTTTCAGTAGTTTCTCAGTTTTTGATACATTGAGATTTGTTTACTTTTGAGTAAAAAAGAAAGTGAGATTCTTTATATCTTGTAGCAACAACTATTAAAATTAGCCAGATGTGAAGATATGATTAGCAAAAGTCTTTAGGCCTGCTTTTATTTCCATCCATGCACAGATTGAAGCTACCTTGATGCTTGGAAATTTATTACATACTCAGTACACCTCCAGTGGTTTCTAAGGTTAATTCCAGAGACCTTGTTTCAACATTTAGAGTTAAACTTAAGAATCAGTAGTTGCACAAATGTTGTCACCGTTAAATCTTTGAATGATGATACCATCTTTCCTCCATGCTGCTTTGCAAGTGCAATTTTTTTCTCTCCTGCTGTGCTTTCACAGACTCCTATTTCTTTTTCTTAGGATATTCAGGACTCAGTTGTAAGCACTATTAATTTGTCATATATGATTATTTCCATACCTGTGCCTAAATAATGAGTGAAATTGTCTACAGTTTGTATTTGTGATTATTATTACTAATTTCATGTTTGATTGAATACATCCCAGATACATAGAAATATTTCTTCAAATATAAATCTTGACAATTATGTTTTTCTTTTATAGCTTTCTCTTAAAATGTTCTTAGAGTGCACATGACTTCAAAGTTTGGAGGCATTCTTCAGGGTTACTTTAGGGAAACTACTCTTTTGTCTTTAAAAGGAAATTAAACTCATAGATTACTGACTGGATGATTCTTTTAGCAACTAAATTCTTTCAGAACTTAGTATAATTTGAATTTACAAAAGCACGAACTAATTCTGTTTTTTTATGAAGCAGGTATTTTTTAAAAATTGCTAAAGTAGCCGGGTGTGGTGGCACACACCTTTAGTCCCAGCACTCATGAGGTAGAGGCAGGCGGATCTCTGTGAGTTCAAGGCCATCCTGGTCTACATAGTGAGTTCCAGGACAGCGGGGCTACAGGGAGACACTGTCTCAAAAAGACCAAAAAAAAAAAAAATTAAAAAATGCTAAAGTTTCCCTTAAAAGTTTGCTTTTTTAAAAATTATTATTATTTTTATTTTATGTGTATGTGTATTGCCTGCATGTAGATAAGTGCCCTTGTCAGTGCAATACCACGGAAGTCAGAAGAGGGCTTCGGATTCCCCTGGAACTGGAGTTAAGGACGGTTCGTAGCCACCATGTGGGTGCTGGGACTTGAACGGATTCAAACCCGGTCTTCTGCAAGAACAGTCAGTGTTCTTAACTGCTGAGCCGTCTCTCCAGCCCCAAGTTTGCTTTTTTTAATAACATCTTGAAAAATGCATAGTAATATTTCTGACTTCTTTGACAGAGTTAAAGATTGTTGATTTCTTTCAATCCTCTCATTATTCCCTGTGCTATTTACCTACTTTTTAATAAAATGAAGAGTAGTTTCTGTACCATGTGTAAGAAAGCTTCCTTAAGGAACCTTTCATTACCTACCCGCAGGTGTAGGTAGGAATTATCTGCTCTTAGTATCCCATTTCATTCTCTTTTGACCCTTAACAGTAGGTTCTAGCTAAATATTTAAAGGTGCAGTGTTCTCTGTTTTTATTAAAATTATTTATTAAAGTTTGTTTTATTGCTGTTGAAGCCCTAGATAATTTACTATACTTCTATATAGTCTTAAAAAGTGTCACATCTTAACATGAGCATTGAATGTTAGTTAGTTGTAATATAGAAATTTCTTGGCTTGATACCTTTTAGGGGGTGCTTTCCTTCAGGTTAAATACCTTTTTACAGACAGTTTTACAAGATGACTTGATACTAAGGTAGTACTTAAATGCCATGTTTCATTAATTTAGTGCCATAATGTATTGGTTTTGTACATATAACACTACATACTTTATAGTAGGGCTTATATAGTTTTGCTTTCGTTGATTATAGGTTTATGAATACTCTTAACATTCAGCATCCCTGATAAGTAGAACCATGGGTGATTATGACCCTGAATGTCCCATAGGCTAGTGTCTGGTTGTCTAGTGTCTGGGTACTTATTGTCTATTCATTCTCTTAATCAACTACTATTTATAGTCTTCCCTAGTGATTATATGTGTGGAGAAGAAAGAAAATAATTTCCATTCTTAAAAAGCATGTCTGTTCCATTAATGTTTTATCATTTTATATTGACTTTAGTCTTAAAAAAGATTATTGTGTTCTGCATGTATTGATTTTATAGATGCTCCTGAAGTTTCAGTAACAGGATATGATGGAAATTGGTTTGTGGGAAGAAAAGGTGTTAATCTCAAGTGCAATGCTGATGCAAATCCTCCACCTTTCAAGTCCGTGTGGAGCAGGTAATAAAGTTAAAATTAAACTTACATTCTGCTATGTTCCATGAGCTTTGGTTCTAGAGATTCAACTGTAGAGGTATCACCTAGTACTGGGCATCTCTCAGACATAGGCTCTCTGTGTCTGACCACATGTGCAGTTCTGCAGTAGCCTCCATCTATTGCAAAAAGAAGCTCCTTTGATAGGTGTTGTACAGCATGCTTGTCTGTAAATATAAGGATGGATATTTAGCATGCAGTAAGTTTAATTTGTCTTGAGAATGAAAGAGATAGGGTTTTCTCCAGGATCTATGTTCTCTCCTGCCATGTATATTCGGCTGAGCAGAATAAGGAGTAGAGAGAAAACTAATGCATCCCTCAACTCTCACCAGTAAAGCTTCCTTATACAACAGAGTGCAATGCACACAGAAGGCCATAACTTTCCAAGTTTTAAAGAATAAGAGACTGTAGAGTACAAGATAGAACTCCTGTGTGAAATCTCATCTACCCATGGCTCAGGGACCATTTCAGAAGAGGGGGCAGAAAGATTCTAAGAGCCAGGGCTGGTTCATGAACACAAGGAAGCAGAATTCCAGGCCACTGGAAGCTTGCACATGTGAACTTGTGGCAGTGGTGGCATCAGCATGGGACCCATGTCAACTCAGTTGAGCGGGGGCCCAGAGGGGAGGAGAGAAATGGGTGGTGGGCTGACCCTAGACTAAGAACTATTCAAGACTGATTGCTGCTGGGTGAAGGAGAGCATGACTTACATATAATCACTAGATGGGCTGACTAGACTCCAGTGGACCATTTGCACTCAAGGACACTTGTGTACAAATGCCTGAATGAATAGGACTTAGCATGTATGGTGGAATACATGATGTTCATGCAGTTTGGTGGGGGAATGGGGAGGCATGAATGGGTGGGGTCAGAATTTGATTAAGAACTGTTGTATGAAATTGCAAAGGTACAATAAAAAAATGAACTCAAAAAATTTTAAAATTACAAAATGCATTTGTTTAAAAATGGAAGATCTTAGAGGCATATTTGAGATTATTTTTAATCAATATAATGCATAATTAGATAAATATGTGAAGAATTTAAATAAATGACAGATTTCTAAGTGCTTTTCTGCACCATCCCTTCCTACCATCCTATTGCCTTCTTTCTGTTTCTTACTAGCAGCTATGTTGATTTTAGCTTTTGTTTCCTGATAGTTACTGGTCTGGGTCTTGTTTGACTTACCATTTTTAACATTGCTCACCTATTGGGTTTAATTTTATGCCCTTGTTTATCTATAAAAATCCTACTATATATATTCTTACCCCTTATTGTCTGAATGAACTTAAATTGCTGTTGATTGAACTCTGTACTTAATTACCTGTCATAGAAACAAGTATGATTAAGAGTTAAGTAGCATACCAAGATTCTGTTTTCTTTTGTCCGTACCTTTTTATTTCCCTCTGGCTAATATTGCCTCTGTTTACTTGTGTAGTTTCTAATCTACTTTTAATTCTCTGTCTCTAAACTTTTAAACAGTTATCCTAAGATTTTCATTAATACCTCTCTTTTTTGTTACACTTATTATCCTTCACATTTATTACATATAACTATCCTTTCTCATTTTTTCCATCAGTTTTATTATTTCTAGAATACCATCTTGTTTAAAACAGTTTTCACATATTAATAATTTTTTAAGTGGGCAGAAGATTATTTACAGTTTCCAAAATCACTTTTTCATTGCTTTGTTTATTTTTTAATAGACAATTTTATATTATATATGTGTGCAGTATGTTTTTACCAGAGATGCTACCGTTATTCCCACATGTGATGCTTACTCCTGATTATCAGCTTGACTAGACTGAAAAGTGCTTAGTAGATTACTAAAGCACACTTCTGGGTGTGTCTTTGAAGGTGTTTCTAGAAAGGATTAACCAAGGGAAGAAACCAGACCCTGAATGTCCCATAGGCTGAGGGCCTGGATGATGTAAAGGAGGGAAAAGGAGAGAAAGCCAGCTGGGATGGATGTCCTCTCTCTACCTACCTTCTTGCTGCTGTGGTGTGAGCTACTCTGTTCCATCATGCCCTCCTTGCCATGATAAATTGAAACCTTGGGTCCTATAAATCCTTCCCATAAAGTTGTTTCTCAGATATTTGGTTACAGTGATGAAGCTAGCTAGTAAGATGGTGTAAGCAGAACTTAGTAGGTGATTCTGATGGGAGATGAAAAGTCAGAATGCTAACAGGAATATCGGCTATGGAGACTGGCTTGTGCAGCTTCAGATGGACCAAAGATAGTTGGGAATTGGATTAGAGTTCATTCATGTTAAATTCTCACAGAATTTGTCTGCATTTTGCCTGTGGACTGAGACTTGTGGGAGGCTGAGTTTAAAGGAGATGGACTAATCTGGTGAAGGAATTCTTAAAGGTAATATGACATTCAAACTGTGGTGTGGTATTTAATAGCTGTTTTTAGCCAAGGTTACTGTGAAAATTAACAGCAAAAAAACAAAAAAAAGTTGCAGTTTGGTCAGGAAAGCTTGAGCTAAAGAAGGCTTGATTTCTGAGAACAGTACATGGAAAAGATGTCAAGCAGGATGCAGTAGGGCATTAGGAATGATCTTTGAGGGCACCTCAAGAACTAGCTACATTCCACCCAGTGCAGTCTCAAAGGTATGAAAAAGTGGACTCGCTTGAAAGACCTCCAAGGCCCCCGCATGCACAAATAGGGCTGTGTCGGAAGTTGTTTCCTCTGGATTCATTCCAGTATGCTTAGCTGCCCAAGCTGCTATAGCCATGTTCCAAGGGTGCCTAGCTTTGTTTAAGCTGGCAGCAGATCTTGGTGTGAACCACTTGATACTGGTTTTCGCTTCTGGCAAAATACAAGCTGCTGGGTCATGGAAGTGTTCTCTAGTGAGTCAGATTCCAAACTTTATTATATTCTTTGAACCAAATTGACTGCTTACTCAATCATATGCCTCCTGTGAACAAGGCTTCAACCCCAAATAGAGCTTTTTAATCTTGACAGTATTCACATTTGAGACAAAGCAGTTAGTGTGTGTGTGTGTGTGAGAGAGAGAGAGAGAGAGAGAGAGAGAGAGACAGAGAGAGACAGAGAGAGACAGAGAGAGAGAGTTCTATTAATTAATAGGATATTTAGCAGCATGTTATTTCTGTACTCCTTTGAATCAGTAGTAGCGACCACTCCCCATCGTGAAAATCCAGACTGTCTGCAGACATGCCCAATGTCCCCCAAAGACAAAAATCACTGTCATTTGAGAAACACTCACCAAAAACATATTTTTTCTCCATCTGATTTCTGTCCTCTAAAAGTTTGTTGAAACATCTTGTCTATTGCATTCTGTGTCCTATTTTCCTTCTCCTGTGTGTTTTTTTTCCTTTTATAATGTTTACTTTTTTATGAATAAGTCTGTAAACATCAACATGAGATATTCAAAGTTTTTTTTTTTTAATTAGAAGAAGCATCTCATTACAACAGCATTGACATATTCAATAACAATTTCCAGAGCTAAAGGGTACATCTCTTTCAAAATTGGCTGTACATTTCTAGGTTTACAGATGAATTATTACGCCTATACAATCTTTTACTCATTTTAAACTCTATAAGACATAAAATTAATTGAGGTTTTAACGTTTAAAAAACGTCTCCACTTTGTTGTTAAAATACACAGTTTCATACAGAAAAATTCATTTTAAGGCAATTGACATTGAGATGTTTTCACATGCATTTCTAATCTCTATATATATGACTATTACTGGTCACAATCTCTTACTTTCTGAGTTCCTTGGCATCTGAGCATGGATATAAACTCATCACATAGACAGCCTTCCTCTCACACTAGAGCCTCCATACTCTGCCATCCCTACCACTGTCCACTGTGCTGTCAGCACCCCCATCCATTCCCCCCTATCTGCCCTTCTGGTAAATCTAGTCAGCCAGAGGTCCCTGTTCCAGGAGGA